AAAAAAAAAACAAGCTTAAAATAATTCACTGTCATTTAATTCATGCATCGTGAATTTTCCTCGGACTTTGACTGTTTTTGTTTACAATTGTGCAACCCGTTTATCGATCGCGCATTGACCTATATACATTCCGGAGGTCAACATTACCGCTCTTTGATTTTTACGCGAGTCCCGGAGTTATCTAAAACGATGCTAGTCATCGATTTACTGAGTTTAAAATCAAGAATTTGTTATAATATTTGCGTAAATCGTAAGAATATTTCTAGACACAAATATAAAGGTTTTCTTGAACATGTATGAGTATTAAAAGATAAAATGTCTGATTCTATTCTTTGACGAATGAATAAGAGGCGCTGCGCTTTTACTCAGGTACAGATGATTTCTCTGGACGAGTCCATCGGTTACATTGATAGGTGACGCAGGATGACCTATCGACAACTCTGCCAATTTTGATTGTGATTGTAATTGCACATGTACATAAATTAATGTTGAATTCTACACTTGTGAAGTACAATATAGTTTCGTTATTTAAAGAATCGGGATATCACAACTGCAACTTAATTGTATTTAATTTGAACGGATGATTCTATTATTGGAAAGATACACATATTTAGGCGCCGTCGTCTCCCTCTCAACTTTGAAGTAATTGCAATCGTTACATGTATACGGGCCTATATCAAGTTATTCTAATTGCTTAAATCATTTCAGGAAAAATTGCGATGTTGTTTATAATAGCAATTACAAACAAACATGACAAATGCACACAGTATAAATTGTAAGTGGAAGTGACGTTTTCAATTCTCATGAAAATCGAAAATTAAATTATAAATTTCTTTTATTTCATCGAATAAAAAGCTAGAATATTACAATGACACGATTTTATGTGCATGTACTTGATATTAACTAAGTACATGCTGTTTTACACAGAAGAGCACCCAACATATATGAGCTTTAAGAATACGAGAAAAAAAATGAAGAATTAGAAATTTTTCTTACAAATTCAAAATTGCTTCCTGTAATTTCAAACAAATATTCCAAGCCTTTAAATTCTTTCGTGTTTATTAGACTAAAAGAGATTAAATTATTAAATTTCCACTCATTGCGATACGTAACCCCCCTGAAATGATACAATGCTTTCCTTCAGAGTCGAGAATGGCAGGCCAGGGCTGGTGTTGAAATCCATGATTAATCCATAACCTATTATATTTACATTTCCAATGTCTTTGTCCGAGATAAAATTACCAATTGTAAATGTAATTGATTTCCTCATGAATGTTTTGGCGCAGTTCCAAAAAAAACACGTGCAGGGCGGGACAACACCTAGAGAGAAGCAGGCTTGGAGCCCGTGGATTGGCGGAATCAAAGCATGTAAATATAAGGAATAACTGTCAGATTTTTCGAATTCATGAAGATGATCAATGGATTGGCTTGTGTGATAATTTTATGCATAAACGCCTTCGGCGTTTATGCAAATTATCACACAAGCCAATCCATTGATCACTTCATGAATTCGAAAAATAAGACAGTTATTCCTTAAATAATATTAACCAATAATCATACGCGATCTTTTTTTTTAATTCGCAGGTTGTCAAATAATTTTTTTTTTAAAAAGTCGGCAGAGATAAGTACGCGTCACTAAACTTTCTTATTCATAAACGTTTTAATTTCTAAAACTTGTGACCATTAGAGTATACAATCGAGCATCGAAGTGTGTACATGTACTACATGTACTACAGTGTAGTTGTTTTTTTTGGGAGGGGGGGGGGGGCTACCAGTTTTCGCTGCATTTGATTTCCCGAATTTTGCATTGCATTTCCAACAATTAATAATTTTATTTATTACATTCATTATTTTCATTCTGGATTTTTACACTATTGTTTTTAGCAATTCAACGTTAACAAAGTTAATAGAATATAATTGGTGAAAGTAACACAAATGATTTATAAAATGAAAGTCAAGCAATAAAAAGTTAAAGTTTGTATTTTGAAAAATAAATCAAGTCAAGTCACATAAAACAAAGACAGGTTGAAACGCTCACACATGGACATACACACAAAGGTTTTGGTAACTCGGAATAGTCCAGAGTAAAGCTATATTTTCTTGATACGGAATGTCCAATACATCTAATGTTCACGTCCGGGATAGTCCACGGCAGTTTTATCACACATACGCAATTATCATACAAGTAGAACGCTCTTTGAGGTTGAGGATTGACACTTATTCCTTGGATAAATACTGAGTGACGAATTCCTTTTTACTGTCTTAACTTAACTTGATAGGTAAATAAGTTTAGCATATGTTAAAAATAAGCATTAGAAATAATTCTTTTCATAAAATTCAATTCTGTTACATTTCAAATGAATTTGTAAAATTAACTTTATGACAATTGTCTAGCTGCAGATCTGTAGCTCGCTAGCTGTTCTAAAAAATTGAGATGGATCACCAGATAGCTATAGTGCTACACATATTATCTCAAATTCAGGCTCAGAAGGACTAGTACTATTAAAAACGATTGTAAGGAATGTTTAACTGTAGAAAAATTTAAGGAATGTGTTAGAGACACACGGTAAATAATATTTTTAGATTCAAGCAGTTGAAAAACACGGATATTGAATATAGCTTCAGCGCAATTTTTTCTAATATTTTCTATTTTTTTATTATTCGTATTTCTCAATTTATCATGTTCAAATAACGTGTATTTTTTTATTAGGGCACATTAATGGGGGGGGGGGGGGGGCGGCGGGTAAGTGGTGACTTCTATTGCCTCATTGCCTCAAATCTTTCACTTTTCATACCCATTTCACACATATTTGCGTTTACCAGGGGGGGGGGTCAGCGTTTTCCAGGGGGGGTCCATGGTAACTTTTTTCTTGTTTTAGTATATACATTTTTTAACCTGGTAAATTCCAGGGGGGGGGGGGGGTCAGGACCCCCCCCCCCCCTCTACATCCCCGCATGTGTCAACCAGTCTGACAGTGTCCATCTGTCACGAGAACTTTAAACTTGATAATAACTATTGAATGAGTTGAATTAGGACTTTCATATTTCACATGTGCATTACTTGTGACATGTGATTTTCAAATAAACTGTGATTTTTAACCCCGTGACCTTGATCTTGGAGCTTGACCTACTTAAAAAATAACATTACTTTAAATTGACCATAACTATTGAAAGCTTTCATTTTATAAACATGTAATGTATTACCCGTGTCAACGCCTTTGAAAATTCATTATGATTTTTGACCCTTTGACCTTGAAGTTTAACCGGCTTTTCCAAAATTTAAACATTGCCTAAAATTGACCATGACTTTTGATAAAGAAAGGATAACGCTTTCATACCTAGATTTACACATGTATATACGTATTAGCTTTGACTAGGCCTATCGAAAAAAGTATAGCTTAAGAATTCGTCAATACGGTAGCACACAAATTGGCTTTGCTTTTCACCAGCGTGTGTCATGGTGTGACGTAAGGTCATTTTAACAAGGTCAAGGTTGCAAACATTCCTTTACTATCTTTTTTAATAGTAAAACATAAATAAAATGAGATCTACCCTTAAAAGATTGCTTTTACATTAGAACGTGGCATGACCTTGACCCAAGGTCATTTCTCCCTGTCCGCAGCTCCGACGGAAGACCTACTCGTTGCTTTGCAACGAGCTCGGCTCTAGTTCTAAATAAAATTTATTGCCATACTTTGTATGTATTTAATTTGTGTCTTTATGTGTAAGTCATCTGATTTTAATAAATATTCAACGGATTTTTTCCGAGGACGGATTCTTTACTATTTGTCTATATTTCCATAACAATGTGGAGCTCCAGACGACCAGCTGATGATAAAACCTAATTTATGCATGTAAATCTACCTATAATGTCCATGTCTTGAATATTGAGAAACTGTGTGTGATTTTAATATGGATCAGTTTGAGGTAACAATTTTTTTATCCCTACATGTAAGTACCGGTAATTTATTTCCTTTATACCAGTAGATCCGCTCCACCGCTATTCCTCTGATCATGTAAACAATGAACCATCTGCGTGTAAACATACTGCATTTACATTGAATAAATAGTTTGATAAAGTCTATTTGTATGAAAATGGAACAAAAAACAATTTTTCTACCTGAAAAGATTAAAATAATTAGTGTGAGTTGTACATATCTACCAGAACACGTAGGATTGCGCCGATATATCCCCCCGAAAAAAAAAATAATTCAGGAGGGATAACTCTGACAATCTAAGTATTTCAGAGGGGTACCAGAGAGGGTGTATTTTTTCAATTTAAGTTAAAAAGAAGTATTTATTGCTTTTGCAGTGTAAAATTACTTATAAAGTTCTTAAACTAGCGAATAAAATTTATTGTTTTGGGTTAGTGTATATACATGTATTTATTTATGTATTGCAAATGAATATTTTGAACACTCCGGCAGTAAGATTTAAATAAAAAAATCAGAATATTCCAGGATTTAAAATTGAAAAAGCCTTTAATTTATTCACTTAAATTGATAAATAGATCGATTATTGTTTTGATATATTTATTTATTTATTTAATAGTTTGATGGATTTGCAAACAAATAAATAATTTAAAAATATGATCTAGGTTAACTTTCTCTCTCTCCCCCCCCCCTCTCTCTCTCTCTCTCTCTTTCTCTGAGGCATTTTTAAACAAGGACTACGCCCTCTATTTTTATTCTCTCCATCTTGCATAAACATAAAAAAAAAAATACAGTACAAATCCTTTATAAAACAATGTTTTATTATTTATTGGTTAATTGTATGAAAATGAATGTGATAAATTAATGATTCATAGACTTTTTACTGCTCATAGGAACTCGAAAACTTGTTTCGAGAACACTTTGGAAACTCTTCATTGAAAGATGATGAAAAACAAATGGAAAACAGTGATGATGAGATACCTATAGAAGAAAATGAAGTAAATGATATTATTGCAAGCAGAGTTAATCAATATGCAGAGATTGAAAGTGACGGAGGAGACAAAGAAGAATCGACAGATAGTTCTGGAGAATCACATACATGTAAATTCGGATGTCAGTGTTCAGCTAACTGTTTTGAACATTTTACAAAAGAAGAAGTCACAGATCACATTAATAAATTAAAAGAAATGGGTAAAGAAGAGAAAGAGATGTACATCATGGGCTCTCTCAATCAAAAAGGCAGCAAGAAGATAACATCCAAGAGAAAAGAGAAAAAAAGAACTAGATATATTTATACTTTCAAAGGCCATGAAATATGCAGAGACGCATTTGTTTATATCTACGATACGACTCGAAAAGTTTTGAGAAATATTGCCAAACATCTCAGTGAACATGGAGCTATCCCCCGAGAGCATGGCAACACAGGAAAGAAACCTTCACACTCTCTGAAATTCGAAGAAATTCGCAATGCGGTGACATTTATTTTGAATTATGCTGGAGAAGTAGGGATGCCCCAGCCTGAAGCCCCTAGGGGAATTGACGGAATTCCACCGGTGTATCTTCCATCATCAGACACCAAGAAGGACATCCACAAGCGTTATGTTGCTTCATGTGAAGAATCTGAATTCCGTGCTCTTAAAGTGTCTTCTTTTCAAGACGTCTGGCTTAAATGCGTCCCACATATCAAAATTAGCAAACCTAGGGATGATGTTTGTCATCGATGTGAGCGTCTGCGGAAGGAAATTATTGATGCTGTTACAGAAGAGGAGAAGCTTTCGGCAATCAACGCCTTTCAGGAACACATTGCAGATGCGAAGAAAGAGCGCGAGTACTACAAAGCCTGTATAGAAAATGCAGTGCAGGAAATGGAGAACTGGGAAGGTGAGGAACTTGCAAATATCCATTATACATTTGATTTTGCCCAGCACTTTCAGTTGCCACACCATTCTCGCCAGATGGGTCCAACCTATTTCGCTCAGCTACGCCGGATCCAGGTGTTTGGAGTAAGAATTGACAGCGTTTCCAAGCAGCTTAACTTCATCGTGGACGAGAATCAAACTATAGGTATATATTCTATTCTGCAGCTTTTTGATTGAAATAAGCATTTTAAAACAATGTGATGATTAAGTTCATGCACTTCTCTTCGCAGGACCAGACGGAACTCAAACAAGTGGACCTAATGCAGTCATAAGCATGCTCGACTATGCCCTTACAGAACATAACTTTGGTGAACAAAAATGCACACTTCATGCAGACAACTGTTCTGGTTGGTTCCATAACAAATTAAAAGTCTTTCTTTCATAGATGTACCGAGTATATATATATATGTCTATATCTAATATATCAACACATTCATTTTAGGGCAAAATAAAAACCAGTTCGTCATAGCGTACCTCTGTTGGCGTGTTATAACTGGACGTCATTGTGAGGTAGAATACTGCATGCAAATACCTGGACACACGCGGTAATTAAGTAACTACATAGTACATTTATGAGTATAAGTGCTCTTTATTCTTTACTTTCTTAAAGTTCAACTGTTTATTGATACAGCACTTTTTTGTACTACAGGTGCTTGGTTGATAGTGGATTTGCGCACATCCGGAAGCTCTATAGACGCTCTGACATTGATTCTCTTGCACAGTTCCTCACACTTGTTAATAAATCGGCCGCTTCAAATGAAGCAGTATCCTATGATGATACTTGGCAGTGGCGAAACTGGAAAGACTTTCTTTCCACTTACTTTCGCCCTGTGAAGAGTGTACGTAAGTACCATCATTTTAGATTCACTTCTGCAGAACCATGGTACGTTTACGTCAAGGAGCGAACCGACTCGGTAGAACAGAAGTTCTCATTGAAAAAAATTGGTGCGCCTAACTTCGATGCCACCGAGATTCCAGCAATTCTACCTCCTGCTGGGATGACAAGGGAGAGGCAGACCTACCTTTACAGGAATGTGAGGCCTTATGTGCGCCCTTCCCACCAGGAGGACCTGTGTCCTACACCAACGGAAGAATAAATTAAATGCATGAATCAATTGTACATACTCAGTATCAATTTTCACTTGCCAGTTAGTACATGACTAATTAATTAGTCAGTGAAAGACAATATGCTGATAATGAACCATTTTCAAATGTAAAATATGTTATTTTAAATGTTTAGTTTTTGCATTAAATGACATTAGCTTCCTACGTTAAAACTCGGTTATACCGAAGCTACTGGGACAAATGGAATTACTTCGTTACATCCGTAATTCATCATAGACATATCAGACATTTGTTAAATATATACAGGATGGGGATCAAAAATAAATTTGCTATATCTGTTAATTTACTATATCCGTAATTGTATTTATTTAAATGAATTTTGCTTTAATAGTAGAGACATCATGTTTAATGTTAACTTTGGTTGATACATTAAATGCAACACAAAACCTTAAATTGTGTTTTCAATTATTCTGGATCAGGTTATTTCCAAAGAGTGGTGGACTTCACTTATTTCCTAAAGGCAATTACCATATAAGAGATATACCTGATTTATCCTGAACCTTTCACAGACTCATTAACTATTTAAACATGTAATGAGTGATTTAATTCTGAGAAATAACAATTATATGTACATGCATTACAATGCAAAAAGAGTCACTTTCAAAGTTAATTTTTTGACGTTTGTGCAAAAATAACGTAACGTCAAAGTTTACTTATTTATATATCATTGATATAAATGAAGAAAAAACTACTTAGAATTGATGTAGGACCATAAAAATTCAGATTTGGCAACTTCAAACCTTGCTCTATCAAAATCCATGAAAATCTCAAAATGTATAAAAATTGCCATAAGGACCCTTTCCCATGGGCGCAATCATATGTAACCTATAAGGGGTAACAATTTCAAACTTATTTTGTTGATTTAGGAGCGAAGTGTTTAAATTCTGCCGGACCTTGATAACTGCAAACCCTTTGTCTTCCTTTAGCATTTGAGGTTGATTGAAGGGAAGTGAAATAGACCTGTCTACTATAATCTCTCCTAAAGCTCTGATTAGTACAGGAAAATATATACTCTTGTCTGGCGCAAATCCCCTCCTCGGAATTGTGAAAGTTATAAACAGAATGACTTTGTATACCGTTTTTTCCCTTGAGTATTTATGAAGGGACGAACAATAGTTTTCTGAAATGTCGTATTATACTTTGTTTGTAAACCGGCTGTTAAGACATTCTGATACAATTCAATATTAACGCGATCCAATTGAAGCTCCCCAAGAGAAATTTTCTTCATAATCTGAAAGTCTTATCACAATTGATAGTTGCCAATGCATTGGATTGATTTGCCAGCTTTTGGAGAAAAGTGGCATTTTTCTTTAATTTATTATACCTCGTTTACATTTTCTTTTTTGTTTTAGGTCACCAAAGAGTGTTAAAAAGCCCCCAATAAGGAGTTTTTGGGGTGCAATAAAAAGTTCATATCCAAATTTCTAAGTTTTGAGGGCATAAAAACCTTAAAACATGTCTTATGATAAGTGATTACATTTTCTTTCTCGTCTTGATAAAAGGCACATAAAGATGGCTAAATAAAATGGAAAAGGTTTCCGAGTTCAAAAATTTTATTTCTGACCAAATCTAAAGGTTCTTTATTTCACTTTTTTTCTTTTCAAGACCAGAAAGAATACGTAATCAGATTTTTTGTTGGATCAATAAGAAAATGTTCAGCCCCTAGACTCTTTCAAATTTGTGCTTCGAAAATTTTCAGTGCGCTATTTGAAATACGTTTTTGGGCTGATTTCTATAATATTCCAGCAATGTAGACATACTTTTATATATTATGTTCATCTTACAAAGCAGAACCTGATTATACAAAAGATAATATTCAATCTTTATTTTAAGGGAGGTTTATTCCCTTCGAGTATTTTTTAGAGTACGCGAAAAACAAGAGGCCCACGGGCCTTATAGGTCACCTGAGCATTATGCAACAACTTTCCAGTGATCGAATTTGATTCATGTTTTAAGCCAGATGCTATATGGCATTCACAATTTTGAAAGAGGCACAATTGATCATCATAACAAAACACTTAGCAGTTGCTAAGCTTGGTTACTGAATACCCATACGCAGGGTAGGGGAACAATATTCCAACTTATCAGTAATATTCAGCAATAATCAGTAGTGCCCCTAACACTGTGACGTAAACCCCTGACCCTAGGTCCACACATTGCAAAAATTTTAAAAAGGTACCCTTAAAATTGCCTATCAAAAAAGAAATACATGTTTTTTAAATATAAAGGAGCAGATTTCAAACAATTAGTTCATTTTCAGTATATAAGTAGAGCCCTCCCCCCCCCACTCCTGACCCTGGGGCCTTGAATTCACAATTCTGCAAGATTAGGGCCCTTGCTCATCATAACTATTTAAGGAGTTCATCTGCTTCATACCCAGAGACAGAGAAGAAAATTTTCAAAGATTTAATGTATTTTCATTATATAATCAATAGAGCCCCTCCCTAACACCAGAACCCTGATCCTGTGACCATAAAATTCATAATTTTAGAAAGGGCATTTTTGCTCAGCATAAATATGTACTTAGTTAGTTTATTTAATACCTAGGAGCAGAGAAGATTTTCACAGAATTCATGCATTTTCACTATATAATCAATAGAGCCCCCCCCCCCCACACACACACACACACAAAACCCTTGACCCTGGGGCCATAAAATTCACAATTTTGGTTCAGGCACTCTTGCTCATCATAACTATGCACTTAGTTAGTTTATTTAATACCTAGGAGCAGAGAAGATTTTCAAAGAATCCATGCATTTTCACTATATATAATCAATAGATCCCCCCCACACACACACCAAAACCCTTGACCCTGGGACCATAAAAATCACAATTTTGATTGAGGCCCTCTTGCTCATCATAACTAAGCACTTAGTTAGTTTATTTGATACATAGAAGCAGAGAAGAAGATTTTCAAAGAATTCATGTATTTTCACTATATAATCAATAGAGCCACCCCTCCCCTCCTTAACACTAGAACCCTTGACCCTGGGGCTATAAAATTTACAATTTGGGTTAAAGTACTCTTGCTCATCATAACTATGCACTTAGTTTTTATTTGATACAAAGGGGCAGAGAAGAAGATTTTCAAAGAAATCATGTATTTTCACTATATATAATCAATAGAGTCCCACCCTAACACCAGATCCCCTGACCCTGGGGCCATAAAATTCACAATTTTGGTAGAAGCACTCTTGCTCATCATGACTATGTACTTAGTTGGTTTATTTTATACCCAGGAGCAGAGAAGAAGATTTTCAAAGAAATAATGCATTTTCACTATATACTTATTTAGCCCCGCCCTAGCACTAGAACCCCTGACCCCAGGGTCATGAATTTCACAGTTTTGGTAGAGGACTCAATGCTGATTACAAACATGCAAAGTTTGACTGCTTGATGTCCAGGAGTAAAGAAGAAAATTTTTAAAGATTGCATTAATTTTAGTGGCTTTGGCCCCACCCCTCAGGCCCCAGGGGGGCAGGGATCATGAAATTCACAATTTTTGTTCCCCTTCACCCATAGATGCTTTGTGCCAAATTTGGTTGAAATTGGTTCAGTGGTTGTAGAGAAGAAGCTGAAAATGTTCAAATGTTAACACACGACGAACGACGCACGACGACGGACGAAAACGGATAGCAATAGGTCACCTGAGTTTACTCAGGTGACCTAAAAATGTAGATCCAATTTTAGAGTTTTAGGGGCATAAAAATCTTAACAGATGTCATGATAAAAGTTATCGCATATTCTTCCTCGTCTTTTTGAGACAATGAAAATGATGTAAGGCACATTAAGATAGCTCCACAAATAAAACTTCAGGTCCCCGAGAAATGAAGAAATTAAGGTCAGATAAACCCCGTAAAAATGGAAAAAAGTTTCTGGGTTCAAAATGTTTATTTCTAACCCAAATGAATATAAAGGTTCTTTATGTCATTTTGTTCGTTTTTCAAACGAGAAAGAATATTTAATCAGATTTGTTGTAGGATAGATAATAAAAATTTCAGCCCCTTATTTAAACTTTCAGTGTAGACTTCGAACATTTTCAATGCGCTATTTGAAATGCCTGTTTGGCTTTTTTGTTTTAATCAAGTGATATTGACAATCCATATATCATTATGTTCATATTATTGATAAAAAAAAACAATTATATTTTTAATTTTTTGCAATGACTTAAAGGCAAATGAAATATTTTAGAAATACTTCTCATTAACAAAAGCAACAAGTGTTTACATACTATACTTATATTTTAATTTCTATACTTAAGCTACACCTGGTTTCAAATAATAATAATCAAGAAGGTGAGTTTTTGTGCTTCTTCTGATCACAACGTTTGTATCTTCATGCTCTAAGAATCTCTAGATTCGGGGGCACACTGCTCAACGCGTTATCGGCTACTCGGTTGTTATCGGACACTCGGTTGATAACAATTTTTGACAGGTTAATAAATTATTTTAAATAAACTCTGTTAAAATAGAAACAGAGAATATTCATTGTGCTTTTTGTAAACAGAAATGAATACGGATACAAAATAAAGCCTCGATACGTACTAGTCTAGCATTTGTTAGCCTTTGGAAGGCTTTTAAAGTTAAATTTGTTATATTTTGCAAGTTTTTCTCCGATTGGCATTGCTGTAAATAGCCTTTTTTCTTCAAAATCCTTGTTTACCTTGCGTTAATGATTGTGCACACGAAGACTTCCTCAGAATCTTGCAAATATGTAAATAAAGGGAAAAAATTGCCTGAGTTTAACTTTCAGTATGTTATCGGAAATACGGTTGAATAATGCACTTTGTTATCGGATAACTCGGTTTTGGTTATCGGAAACAACGGTTGTCATAAATTAAGGGAAAACGCAAAGAAACGACAGAAATTCTAATTTTTGGCTATAATATGCCTCTTTAAGAACATGTATCTTTTAAAAATTGTGTGTTTTTTGGCATTTCTCACTGAAATCTGCATTGACCTGTTTGAAAATA